CCCATTTATATTTTCATTTTTGCCGGTATTACCTTCGGCTGGCTTTTCAGGATTTATTTTTCCCGAAATATTATTCAATTTACTTGAATTTTTATTTTTATTTAATTTTTTACTTTTGCCGGTATTATCTTCGGCTGGCGCCTTAGGATATTCTTTATCCCAAGGGGGTATTTTTATATATTTTTCTATATAATTTTCTGTTTGAGTCGTTAATTTTTTATTCTTGCCGGTATTATCTTCGGCTGGCGCCTTAGGATATTCTTTATCCCAAGGGGGTATTTTTATATAGTTTTCTATATAATTTTTTGTTTGAGTCGTTGGTCCTTGTTGGCCTCTTTTTGTATTGCTGTCATATATTTTTTCTAGACCTCCTTCATATTTGAGCAAGCCTTGCTCAATGTCAATGGTTGCTTTAATTTTTTTTAAAAAATTATAACCTATTAAAAAATCAGATTCGAGATTTTTTATCTCGTAAAATAATTGTTTATGTCCAAATAGATGAACAATATGATAATGGCTTATAATTGTATAGCCATTAATGGTTTTTACTCTTTTTTTTATGCTTAGTTTTTGTTTATTTTTATAGATACCGGCTTTGATATAACAAGCTGTAGCACCTGTATCTATTAGTATTTGGAGGTTTCTATTTATTGCTTTGTCCCTTCTGTAAATGAAAGGGAGTCCGATATTGGACCTAAAAAATGGTTCTCATTTAAATTATTAACTCGCTGGGCCTTTGCCTGCGGTTGATTGCTATTTTCGCTATTTTCGCGACGATGCTTTAAATTATTGAAGGGTCGTTGCATCCTTCCATGATTCTGTGGTGATCCATTTGGATTCCAGAAATTGTTATTGTTTCCTCGAAACTGTGGTATCTGTCTGTTTTGAGGATGTGGCCTTTGTTGTATGGATGTATCAACATCCATTGGTTCAGGCTTAGGAAAATTATTTTGCCTGGGCTTGTTTACATTTGCGCGATTAAAGCGCAAGTTATTGGAGAAATTATTTTGATTAAGAGTTTTTCTCTGATCAGAGAATTGGAATGCGAATTTTGCACGCAAATTATTGGATTCTAACTCCTGAGCTTTGGCTAGAGCGTTAGGTAAATCTGTAGGTGAAAGGGAAAATAATATATCATTTAATGGAGCGTGTAGCCCAGTAATGAACACTCTTAAGGCGTTCTGGCGATTTTTGTTATTTAATTCACGAGTAATGGACGAGTCATTACCGTGAGTCATTATTGTTTTGTTTATTAAAAGGGTTAATTTTTTATTAACCAGATTATAATAATCAAGGACAGTGGATGAGCCTTGCCTAAGGATACTCATTTCCTGTTCAATGACGTGAATTGGACGCTTGTCAGCATAAGCAAAATCAAGTCTGCTTATAATGGCGTCATAATTAAGGACAGTTTCATGATTGGTTAGTACATCGTTTCCTTGATGAACTATTTTGTTCCTTAATATTGTTAGGGCAGCAAAATATTTTCGGCTACCTCTGGTGTAGAGGCTCATGCAGTTGTGAGCTGCTTCTCTCCAACTAACGTAAGAATTTTGATTTCCAGTAAATTCTGGAATGGATTTTATTACGTCAAGACTTTCGTCGCACGTTATTGTCTCGTCTATTGTCTGTGGTTCGTATTCCACTACGTTATTTGTACCAGTCAGTGTTTGAATTTGACTTTTCAAACTCCTAACTTCTTCCCTAAGGGATAACAGATTGACAGAGATCAATCTGCTGATCGTCTCTTGAGTTATTGTAGAAGATGGTGTAGTGTTTGTGGCCATTTTGGAGAAATTTTTTATTAAGTCGTCCAGGATTATTTATTATATTTATAAGAAATTTTACAGACCTTTCTTGTCTGATAGAAAATTTATTATTTGTATATATAATTGTTAGTAAATACAAAAAAATTTTATTTAATGCACCCAGCGTAAACGCAGTTATAGTGCTTACAAAAATATTATTGACTGTGCAAGTGAATGCATCGTCAATTTTATTAGTATAATTATAATTTATTAAATATTTTCATATATTTGTATATTTTTAATGCCTTAATAAATATATGTTTATATACATTGATTTTTAATAAATAGCATCAGTAAAGAAATACCTCCTGGCTGCTGTTAAAATACCTCCAGTACCGATTGTAGAGAAGTTATTGATTGCTTATGTAGTTGATGCTCCAAAGGCTTAGCAGCAACCTTGTTTATGAAATTCAACAATTTTTTTATAGATGTTTTTACACGTGTTTTAACGTAACACAATTTTTAGAAAAATTTTCTTAAAAAAAAAATTCTTATTCAATTTCCAATATTTATTGTTTTGGAAATACTTTTTTCAAAATTAAATAGTTAATTTTAACTGTTAACTGCTGTTTTTGTTAAACACAATTGTTATTTAATATTTTCAGTTTTTATGAAGATTGTCTCTAAACTTCTATATTAACTTTATGGATAATTTTATTTATCCTTTTAGTGTTAATAATTTAAAAAATTTTGCACATATAAAAATTTTTGTGCACTCACGAAATCTCATTTTTTTATTATTTGAGATATTTCATTAACGCTTTTCTTCGCATTTGCGTGAGTTCACTGTATATTTTATAACTCGCGAAATCTCGTATTTTATTTGAGATTTTTTATTATTCGCGGCCCAACAGTTGTTGAGTGCCAATTGATTTTCGAATTTTTTTTTTTTTTTTTTTTTTTTTTTTTAAAAAATTTTACACATTAAAAAAATTTTCGCTCGCGAAATCTCGTTTTCTAGTATTAGAGATTTTTTTTTATTTATCGCGAGCCCCACGTTTTTTCGCATTTGCGTGAGTTCACTGTATATTTATTAACTCGCGAAATCTCGTTTTTTTTTATTGGAGATTTTTTTATTTATCGCGAGCCCCACGTTGGGCGCCAATTAATGTTCGGGTTCTTTTTTATTATTTTTAAAAAATATATATTTATTATATTTAATTAATGTGTTTAATCATAGTTTTTATTACAAATTTTAACTTTAGTATTTATTGAATATAATTTGTTTTTTGAATATATTTAACTTTTGTGTTTTTGTTTGAAACAAGACAGCAAGACCGTAAGACCGACCAACGACTTTTTATAACGACTGTTTTAGTTTAACCTTTCCTAACGACTCAACCGTTTAGTTTCAATCTTTCCTAACGACTGACAATTCAAAGTTTTTCCTTTGATGCCTGAAGTCGTTATTCAAAATCTAAAATTGGATTTTATCCAATTGAATTCAAGCTTCTAAAATTCCTAAGAATTTTCTAGAAGCGTCTTTTCTCC